TCTCATTTCAGAAACACATATTGTAGCCAAACAAACCTAACCTGAAGAGATTACCTTTGCCCCTCAATTCTATATTACTGAATACACATCCAATGCATTATTTATTAGATTTTAATCATTTAAAATTATCTTACAAATAAATTAAAACCTTATTATATGGAGTCTTTATTGTACCCACAGCATATATGTTAAGATCAGGTTTGGAAGTATAAAAGAGCCATTATATTTTCTTATTGTCTCCTTGGAGTTTCTTGTATATTAAGCTTGGGATTTTTAAAATTTGAAAAATTTTTAGATACACTTATATACTCCATATTAACCCAAAATTTAAGATTTATCCAAGTAACTTTTAAACTCTAATTAAAATGGGTTTGAAATAAATGGCTTCAATGTTTTATTAGTCCTGTTATGTGCTGCCAAAGGTACTTTTTATTTCACAGAAATTAGAACTTTTCATGAAACAAAAATACAATTGTTAGTTATTTTTAACTTTTTAATGTTCTTTCACACTTACCATTTTATCAGAAGTAACTACCCTGCAGAGAGTCTGAACTACACACCAGATCTCGTTCTGCTACAATTTCCCTAATAATGAGTCCTTGGATCCTCAGTATGAAAATTATTTTTTCAGGGCAAATGATTTTTTTATGGCAACATTTTATTTAAATAATTTCATTCTCACCTAAATTTTCTCACCTTAAGTGAGGGGCCCAGATGTTACCTTTTGAGCTTGGATTCCAGGTTCCTTGACCATGCAAAGTTGTTTGTTTTTTAATCCCCAGACAGGTATACTTCTTTACCAGACTTTAATCTCTTCTTCTCTGGAAATCCACTTCTCTGCTTCATTAAGCCTCCCTGTAATATCCAGAATTAAATCTCATACCTCATTTATTGTTGTGGTTGTGGATTGCATCTTTTCTCCATGCAGCACTGGAAATGACTTTGAAAGGAATGACCTAAAGTTGTCATCATTCAACTTTTAGTATTTTTTACTTCTAAAAAGTCGTGGAATAAGTTGTTTAACTTAAAAATAAAAAATAAAAATAAAAGAGAGAGAGAAAATCATTAAAAGTGTTGGAAGAGGGGAAAGGAGAAGGGCAATAACTGCATTCTGCCAATAGTTGAAGGGATTTGTCATGTGAAGAAAGAGTATTTTTCTGTATAGTTTTCAAGATAGAACCAGGAGAATTCCTGGTTTTATTCATTTGGGAGAATTCCTAAAACGCACAAGATATGTTACCAAATGAGTTTATGGATCTGAATCCATATCAAATCTTCTTTTTTTTTTTTGAGAGACTCTCACTCTGTTGCCTAGTCTGAAGTGTAGGGGCGCAATCACAGCTCACTGCAGCCTCAAACTCCAGGGCTCAAGCAATCTTCCTGCCTTAATTTCCTGAGTGGCTGGGACCACAGGTGTGCGCCACCATACCCAGCTAATTTTTTGTAGAGACAGGGATCTTACTATGTTGCCTAGTCTGGTCTCAAACTCCTTGCCTCAAGCAGTCCTCCCACCTAGACCTCCCACATTGCTGAGATTATAGGTGTGAGCCACTGCTGTCTGTGAGACTTTGACTAAAGACCAATTACAGCAAAATAGAACTGTGCGGTGCATTAGAACAAAGACAATGAGGATGAATGAACCAGATTCAAGTCCAGACTCTGCTGGAGGCAATGTTGTGTGACATTGGGTGAGTTTTTTAACTTCTCTTTGACTCAGTTTTTTGTCTATAAAATGAGATTGAAAGTAGTGTCAGAGTTTTTGTAAGGATTAGATTAATGTATCTAAAGCATACCTGATAACTTTGTGTGCATTACCTGCTAACTCTAAATATTAAGCTATTTTATGAATTTCTTCTGTGCTCTTCTAAATTTTTTGGAATTGGAGAAAAAAATTTAAGGCAGCGTATGCTTCTGAAAACTTCTACTTTTCCATATGTACAGAATACATTTTCATGAATATACACAGATTCTCAAGAGTAGGGACCTTTGATTTATTCAGTGATGATTCCCAAGCAGTAGAAACATCTGATCTGTAGTAGGTACTCAGTAAATATTGTGGAGCCCTAATTAGGGAAAAGGAGTCAGGCTGGTGGAGGTAGCAAGGGAAAGTAAAGAGATAAAGCAAATAACCTTAAGTCTGCCTTTCTTCATGGTCCAGGTCATATAAACAAAAGAGGAAGCAGCTGATCTACAGGTCTGCTTTTCTTTATGGCCCAGGATAGACGGTCTTCCTGCACAAAGAACATACATAACTCACAAACTTCCTGCTTACCATCAAATGCCTCAATTTATCAAACACCTCGGTTGACAGAAGAATGAAATGTAAGCTCTCTGCTGCCTTGGCATTATCAATCAGCCCAAGAACCATACTATAAAATCTCCAGCAAGCCTTTGTTTCCTTGCAATCATCCTCTCTTCTACTGGTCTGCCCACTGCGTTCTCACAAGATATTTTCCTACTTTCTCTAATACATCAGCATTTCTTCACCTACAACTGCCTTGGTAAATTCTATTACCCCTGTACCACTGGCCCAGCTAGTCATCACTCACTCGTGACAAAAATGTATTAAATAAATAGATGAAGATGTCCAATTGCTTCACATTTTGAAGAACAAACAGATGTATTTAGAATGGTTATACAATGATAATTTCATTTAATCCAAAATGAAGGACTTCTTTGTCATAATCAGGACACTCAAAAAAACATTCCTCAAAGTCAGGAAATGTCTAGTTTCTCTTTGTTTTGCTTCTTTTAAAATCTGCACTGGGCCAGGCATGGTGGCTCACTCCATCACTTTGAAAGGCCAAGATAGAAGAATCATTTCAAGCCAGGAAGTCAAGACCACCCTGGGCAACATCGTGAGACCCCATCTTTACAAAAACATTTCAAGATTAGTTGGGCATGGTGGTGTGCACCTGTAGTTCCAACTACTTGGGAGGCTGAGATGGGAGGATTTCTGGAGCTTGGGAGTTCAATGCTGCAGAGAGACATGATCACACCATTGCACTCAAGCCTGGGTGACAGAGTAAGACTGTGTTTCAATAAATCAAGCAATCAATAATTTTCACTGGAAATGATCCCTTGACATATTAGTTTGTTTTCCTGCTGCTGATAAAGACATACCTGACACTGGCCAATTTAAAAAAAAAAAAAAAAAAAAAAAAAGAGGTTTTTTTGGACTTAGAGTTCCACATGGCTGGGGAGGCATAACAGTCAAGGCAGAAGGTAAAAGACATGTCTCACATGGCGGCAGACAAGAGAAGAGAGCTTGTGCAGGGAAACCACCCTTTTTGAAACCATCACATCTTGTGAGACTTATTCACTATCAGGAGAACAGCAAGGGAAAGACCTGCCCCCATGATTCAATTACCTCCCACGGGTTCCTCCCACAACACATGGGAATTTAAGATGAGATTTGGGTGGAGACACAGCCAAACCATATCACATAAGGTATCTGTAGCACTTTTCTATTCTTGGCATTTTAGACATCAGTATGAGTCTTTTAGTGAGAGAGCAAATACGTGGAGCACAGACCAGGTACAGAGCTGGCCCACAGTAAGAAGGCTCCAGAATTTTTATTTAAATGATAACAAAAGGGATTAGTAATGTGAACTCCATAAATCATGTGTTTCACTATCAAATGATCAAGGAATAAACCTTGTGAGTGCATTGATGGTTTGATAGATCTTGGCATGGGTCTAAGGTGTGTGGTTTTCTGCTGTGAATGGATGATTGAAATCTGTTCCAACTGGATCATTACTGGTTCCCCAGCCTCTCCCACTCCTTTATGGATCCCACCCCAGTGGCAAAGGAATTATGCAGTTCCAAATAAAAATTAGATAATTAGTTTGACATATCAACAGTCAAATGCATAAACTGTATGAAGTTTCTCTTATTGATTCATTCAAAATCTGCATATGATACCACAAGATTTACATCTTATATTGTGTGAATGATCATTTTAGTGTCACTAACACTCAGATATTTGTCCCTGAATGAGGTTCAAGATGGGAATAGGAACTCTTAGAAAATACCAGCAAAATATCCACCACTCAAAAGACCTAGGTTTATTCTTTCATTTACTATGACTTGGACCAACTATTTACACTCTCTAAATTTCAGTGTGCTCATTTATAGCACAAGAATGTTCATCTCACCTTATAGAATTATTGTTAAGTGTTAAATGAGATAATGTATGCAAAAAAATTGACACATAAAAATGTTAAGAAAATGTTATTGTGAATAATACTATTTATGATATTCACCAATTTATTCAAAAATATTTACTGAGGACTAAATATACATCAGGCACTGCTCCATCCTGTTGATACTGAGAGAGCGATTCATTCGACTCTAGAGAAAAATAAACTTTTTTTTTTTTTTTTGAGACGCCAAGCTGGAATGCAGTGTTACAATCTCAGCTCACTGCAACCTCTGACTTCCAGGTTCAAGCAATTCTCCTGCCTCAGCCTCCTGAGTAGCTGGGATTACAGGCATGCACCACCAAATCCAGCTAATTTTGTATTTTTGATAGAGATCGGGCTTCACCGTGTTTGCCAGGATGGTCTCAGTCTCCTGACCTTGTGATCCACCCATCTCAGCCTCCCAAAGTGCTGGGATTACAGCCATGAGCCACTACACTCAGCCAAATTTTTTTTTTTTAACAGAGCCTGGCTTTATTGCCCAGGCTGGAGTGCAGTGTCACCATCTTGGCTCACTGCAACCTTAGCCTCCTGGGTTCAAGTGATTCTCATGCCACAGCCTCCCGAGTAAATGGGACTGCAGGTGCTCGCCACCACACCAGGTTAATTTTTACACACACACACACACACACACATGCACACATTTGTCCATGAGAAATAATTTTAAAGAACTGTACATTTTCTTTCCACATACCCTGCCTTGTATTAGGAAATGACATTGTGATCCATTTCATTACAAGTAAATTATTACAAAATATTTACAGGAAAATATTTAAAAATAACTCAAACACAAAAGGTAAGATGAAATGAACTGGCTTTTCAGAAATCTCTACTCCAGTGCCCACAGCACATAAGAAGAGAGTCAAAACAAATAAGTAACTAAGATCCCCCCATCACAAATTTCCAAAGAACTGGAGAAGGGGAAGAAACAGTGTGCAAATGTTGGTGTGAAAGGGAATGCATGTTAGCAGCACTGCTTCAATAACTGATCTATTCTGAATGAAATACCCTATTTTATGTGCAGCAAATTCTGAACAAGGCTAAATTTTAGGATATTCCTTGAACTGAAATTAGAAAATACCCTGACAATAGAAGCAGCTCTTTCATCTAAGTTTAATAAGAGCCTCTTTCTCTATGGGCCACTGTTGTGAACAGAAGCCTGTTCTGGCATCAAAAGCTGTCACAGTAGCCCTTCCATCTATTTCATGAAAGCCTCATCTACATCATCCTTAGTTTGTACTGTGACAGGAACAGAAGGACCAGATCTAACATACTCTCAGTGCATTGGGCACAAATTGAGTAATCTCTGCCTTGGGATCATTACCTGTGGTTTGGCACTGACGTTTGCTGTGGTTTCTTCTCAATGGTGACTGCACTCACATTATCTGCCTTGGGTTGCTGAATCAAGTTGGGAGGAGTACTTAAAACCCTAGGGTTTGACAAGGGAGCTGGTGTGAAAAGCCCAGGGGGGCAGGTCCAAGGGGAGGCACCAAAGGTGTGTGCCTCATGCCAGAACAAGGTGGAGGAATACCTGAAGGTGCAGGCAGAGGTAACCTTGGTGGGGGTCCCCAAGGAGGGGGACCAGCAGGACCTGGGGGAGGGCCAGGGTGGTGGTCCTGGAGGTAAAAGTCAGGGTAAAGGCTCTTGGAGTCCTGGCATTCTAGGTGGTCTCAGAAATGGAAGACCTCCTGGAGGTGGTCCATGGGGAAGGCCCATAGGTGGCCCAGGAGGCCATAATAGTGAAGCAGGTGGTGATCCAAGAGATAGTGGTCCTGGCATGGGACATCCTTATATCTGAGAAAGAGAAACAGACTGTGGGGGAGCCTGCTGCTGTGAAGAAGCAGTGGATGTGCCATCAGAATGAGATTCCTCTTTATGCTGTTTTTTAATCTCTTTTCTTCTTCAAAGTCATCAGAATCATCATCATCACTGTCCTCTGAAAGTTCCTCTACTTTCCATCCCTCCTCAGAGACTTCTTGACCTGCCATATGAAGCAGGTTCTTCATGGCTTGAAGAAGAGTCGGGTCCTTCATGTTTGTCTTTTTCTTCCTTGATATTCCAGGCATATCTGCAAACCGTACACTCAGACCTAACTTCTTTTCTTCACTATTGCCTCTCTCACCATCATCACAGTGCACACTTTCTCCATCTGATCTGCCGGTGTTACTGTCATCAGTACTATCATCATGCTTATCTTCATCCATGTCCTCAGGATAGCCATCATCTGGTGCTAAAAACATCATCATCATGACCTCACTGGGCAAGTTCAAGACTATGCAACGTGTCTTCATCTCACCTACGAGGGGGAAGATCTAGGGCAAAACCCACTTTACAGCCATACATCTGCACAACTTGAGGAGGAGGTAGACCATGGGGAGGGCCAAGAGGTTTCCTGCCGGGGGCAAACGTGGAGCACCATGTCCCAAGAAGAAGAAGGGTAGAAACTGCCCAAGTTGGAGGCCCATAGGCTGAGATTTTCTTTAAAGATGGAGGGTGGCTGGGCACCAGGAAATGGAATGTCCTGGATCAAAATGTTGGAAGGAGCATGCGGCACATCTGGCAAGGGAATACTAGTCTCCACTTCCACATGCTGAGCATTCCTGACAGCATCAAAATATTGGTTGAGCCCTCTTCTGTTCATAATCTACTCTAGCTTTCTCAATTTTTTGTAAATATCTGGATTCTCTTTTACATAGAGTTGTAGAATACTTTCAAAAGTTTCACGCAGCTTTTTACACTTGTCTTTCAGTAGTTTCTCATTTAATTGTGGCTGTTGCACTGGGGTAAACTCCATTTCATCCCATTTCTCCATGTCTCAGATAATCTGTTTGGGATCCCTCATCTTTAAAACTGCAGTTCGAACCATCATGAGCTGCTTTTGTTCTTCAATTCTCTCTTCCAGTCTTCCTTTCAGGCTTGGTCTGTGAGGTTCATAAATTTTCCATTCTTGGTGGATGATGTAGATCTCCTTCCCATGTTGACAATTTGTATAGTTTACTTGTTTGTTTAAAAAAAAGAAAAGCAAAACACTTCTGCTGTGCTCTCAGGACTGCGAGAAGTAGAGAAGAGGCGATTCCCGACCTCTTTCACTTGGTAAGGGCTTTCAACTCGGCCTCCCTGTCAACCCCGCAGCCACTGCCATCTTGAAACCTTGTGTCTGCAATCCTTATGTCATTTCCCATTCCTCTGTCCTACTGTCTCTCCAATTTTTATATTTTTAATAGAGATAGGATCTTGCTATTTTGGCCAGGCTGGTTTCAAATTACTGGCCTCAAGTGATCTGCCCACCTTGGCCTCCCAAAGTGCTAACATTACAGGTGTGAGCCACTGCTTCTGGCTAGACATAAACTTTTTAATAAATAGGGCAAATGAATATGGTTTTATGACATAAGTCTGCAATGAGTTCAGTGAGAGCACAAAACCTTAATTCTACCCAAAGATGTGGTGTCATAAAGAACCTAACTATATTAGTCTGTCTTAGCAAGAGAGAGAGAGTACACTCAAAGGCTACATGACAAGTGTTTACTGGAAGGACTATTTACAGAGACAGGGGAGGGTTAAAGGAACTGACAGGGATGGTGAAGGGCCCAAGAATGAACAGAAATGGGAAGAAGTTAACACCCCCAAGCTGAAAGGGTGTCAAGTGAAAGCTGTAACCATGGGAGCTGTGGTGTTGGTCAGAGGAGCAAAGCCACTGCCAAACCACAGTCCAGCAGGGATGAAAGTGTGGGGGAGGTGGAGGCCAAGTGATTCAGTTAGATGGGGAGGGCATTTAAGGGAGATAGCACTGCAAAAACAAAAATACAGAGGTGTGGGAGAAAACCGTGTCACACTGGTGGAACTGGAGTGTAGGATGAAGTATAAGTCAGATCATGGAGGGCCTAGTACATCACACCAAGGCATCTGACCATATCCTGTATAACCAGTAAGAGCCTGTGCCCCATAAATGACTAAATGAATCTACTGCTAATTAAGTCCCTGTGTGTCTTGTGTGGGGGGAGGGGAACTGGGGGTTTGAGAGAGCATTTTGAGTAGTTTGTGTCTGTTTCCCAGTTTAAGACTTTTCTGAACCAAGGCTGCTAATACAAATCACATATGTTATGGAGGACACTGTGCCGTTCCTAATTATTTTAGGGTAATGTATTTAGTTACACACTAAATTAACGCTAATTGAAATTGGAAGAGGTTCAGAAAGCAATTAAATATTATTTGGAATTGAACAGTGGAGTAGGATATGTTGCTCTCACAATACAGAATTCATGCTGATTGATTGCACTGGGCTAAATTGACATTTTCCCCCTTAATTCCAGCAAGAAATCCAGTCTTCCTCGCTTTTATCCAAATCACATGAAAGCAAGAGAAAACATGCTAATGCAAGTATATTTGCTCTTGTATTATGTATTTGGACTAAAAGCCAAAATGAGCTATGGTGAAGCCTACAAACTCCAAGTCACATAACACGAATCATCTGTTCTGCTTCCTTCTTACTCTTGCCCATGGAAGTATAAGGGAGGTACTCAGAAGCTTGTTCAAAGAGAAAATGGAAAAATTGTTATTAAAAAGAGCTCTTAGACACTGCATCTATTGCTTTTTTGATCCTGTTTATGTCTTTTGTATAAAAAGAGATAGAAAAGATACACTAATTTTCTTCGTATCCAAACACACATATTATAATCTGCAGCACTTTTTTAATACAAAAAGCAGATATTTATTTTGCAGCAGGTATTTTTGAAGTCCAGACACAGTCTGGGGCCACAGAGCAGCATGGCTCATACTAACCAATTATAAGAATTAAACCCTCAATTGTAGCTCTATTGGCACTATAACCTGAACTAAAAATTATGCCTATTTGTAGAGTTTTTTTTCTGCATGTATATTAGGTTTTATAGAATAAAAGAGTATCAAATTATATTGGCTACCTAACTTCATTTTGGCCTAAGTCAGTTACTGCTCTCTATCCAGTTTCAGGGTGTTAAAAGCAGCAGACTAGCTTAACTCATAGACAATAGATGATGGTATGCACAGTTCTATTTGCTTAACTTGTATACATTCTGGATTTTGATCAAATTAATTTTTAATTAATTTGTTGCATCTTAAAATAAATGTGGGCTTAAAACCCCAATCTGATCATTTATTTGCTCAGAGATTTCTTGAGAGTTTAGCTGGAATAAGAGGAATAATTAAGTTACTATGAGTTTCTAGTGCATCATGGCAGTTCAGAAATTCAAAAAAGGATCTGCCCATCTCTCACAAGGGAGACTTTCTACAGGGGAAAGAAGTAAGGATTAAAATTCAGAGGAAACGATGACATCCAAGGGAAGAGGGGAAGATTTTACTCCAAAAGGAGAATGATTTAGATCAGCTACTCTGAAGCCCAAGAAAGAAACAGATCACAGACATACAAGAACGCTAGCTCATGTTTTAATAAGCAAAAAGAGAATCTCTTCTGGGGGGCTGTACATCATTCAGTGTTGCTGGAAGGCAGAGTGTGTAGGAGGAAATGGTGTCAGGTAGCTGGAGAGTGCTCCTTAAATAGACAGCCATGCCAGAAATGTAAACATCCTTCTGTAGGTGACAGAGAGCCATTAGGAATTTTAGGAAGAGGAAGGGTGTACTAAAATTTGCCTTTCAGAAATATCACTTATGGAGGCACCACCGAAGGAGGTGAGCCAAGAAGCATTTTAGTAAATGGTGATAATTCAAGGCAGGTTTAACAAAAGAACTATTTACACAGTCGTGGGTAGGGTACAGGAAAAGGTAAAGGATAGCAGACAACCCAGGGGCTAGGAGCTGTTACTACCCCTAGGCCCGAAGAATGAAGGGAAAGAGCAGTTACTGAAAATCCAAAGGGGAGTACTGTGGGAAAGAAACCACCTTGGGAGGAACCATGACCTTGGGCAAGGGCCACAGCCAACTTAAGGCAAACCTACAGGGAGAAAGCTCAAAAAATATATACCCTCACCTCAAACCCTTCCCTCCCGCTAATCTCCTACTTGGTCTCCTCATTGGCCAAACCCAATGAGAAAACAGAAGGCAAGAAGGATTTTTGATGCAGTTCATATAGAACTGCCTCCTGGAGCAGAGTAGGGTGGAAAAACATGGCAAGAGGATCTAGAAGAACATACGGAAGCTATATAGCACAGTCCCATTTTCTGCCCATCCACATCCCCTCTTCTTCTTCACTCCTTTGAAAACTTTATGTCCCAAGCCACAGTACACATGAAGTCCCATGAGCTAAGAAATTACAGCAGGTTTGCATGTTTATGCCATGTAACTGCAAAAGCAGTTGGAATAGAACATCAGAGTAGGATATGTTGTTCTCTCAATACAAAATTCATGTTGCATTATTGCACTGGGCTAGATTGGCATTTAGCAATTACAAGGCATAAGCATAACTGCTACTGGGGTGTGTGTGTGATCTTAGGTTAGTCATCAGAACATCCTCTCTCCTCTACCCATTCCATGTTCCCCTTACTCTCTGCCAGCACCTCAGTTGGATGGGTTTCTTTACCTGGTAGAGACCCCAAACTTCATTTATGTACATGAGTCTTCAGTGGTCTTGTCTTTATTAAATTGTCTCAGTTTCCTAGCAATAAAACCTTTAGAAAGGAATACTAAGCAAAAAGGAGTGTATGCCCCACCCTCCAAGAAAAAGCCCTCTGAGCTCCATGGTCCTCCTTTTTCCATGGTGTAGCAGCAACCCAATTTCCCCCATAATCAGTTGTCTAGGCAGCACAATCACTGGGGAGTTTGGCTCCAAGTCAAAATACTATGTGTAATCTTTCAGACCCTATCAGAGGCAATTTCAAAGGCTGGGGAAGTAGGAGGGTAGGTGCTAGCGTGGGTCGGGGGAGGATATCTGTTTTTCCCACACCAGACTCGGGGCACAGCCAGTGCATTGCCATCTCTGCAGAAAGTTGCAGGCAAGAATTCAGGTCCTGGGTCAGCCATGCTCTCGTGCATATCTGTATTCTTGCCTTGGCACCTCCATTTGGAAGTCTTTTTATGGAGACAGGCCTCCAGTGAGACATTGTTCAGATGCTTCTGATAAAGCCTCCTTATTGAGGGGTCCTGAACACTTTTTTCAGGCTGACTCAAGATTCTATACTTTTCTACCACTAGTCCTTCTACCTTTCCTTCTCACCAGTCCCAGAGACCAGAAAACAGCAGGAACTTTTTATTTGGAGCTCCTCCAGCATGAGACAATCTCCTTCCTAATTGGCACAGAGGCATCAGACCCTTGCCCGATGCCATTTTATAAGGAGTAAATAGGACACTGGAGAGCTGGCGCCCTTTTCTGTTTAGCCTCTTGTTTATACTGCCAAAGTAAGTGAATAGAGGCTGAAGTGTTACTTTCAGTATGGCTCATGATCTTAACTGAACACCTTGACACCTGGCTGCTTACTCTCTCTGAAAAATAATGACCTCCTTCCCTAACAATTCCATGGCAGGAGGAAGCTAAAGTTATCAGGGAACAATCCCTGCTTCCAATTTATCCCCCAGCCTCTGCCAAGAGAGTAACCTAAAAACAATGCCACATCCTGGGTACAATAGTCCCACTATTGTACTCCCATTTATTTCACTAATCTGGCCCTCAGAAAACCTGGATAGGTCAGATAGCAGTGGACCACCACAAGCGTAACCAAGGACAAACTCCAGTCTCAGCTTCTGGTATTGAATGCACTACTGAATGCCCATGAGAAAGAAGCATCAGAAGCAATTCGGATTTAACTGAGACGGATGACAGATTACATCTGCAATCTTGTCCTTTGGGTGTCCTGCCCTTTATCATGATATGGGCCAAATGAACCTGGACCATCTGAACATTCCAGAGAACATCACATTTGTCTGTTATATTGTTGATACCATGTTAATCAGACCAGATGAGTAAGAAGCAAGAAGTACCCTGGATGGTCTGATAAGACCCAGGTATTCCAGAGGGAGGGATATAAGTTCTATAAAAATTTAAAGGACACCACAGCAGTGACTTTTTCAGGAGTCCATTAGTCTGGGGCATGCCAGGACATTGCCTCCAAGGTAAGGGGCAAATTATTGCACTTGGCACCTTCTAACACTATGAAGCCTAGCATTTGGTAGGCCTCTTCATGTTTTAGAGGCAACATACTACACTTGGGAATACTGTTCCAATCCATTTGTCATGTGATGCAGAAGGCTGACAGTTTTGAGAGAGACCCAGATTGTTCTGGTGGAACTATAGTACAAGTATTATCCAGGCTGTAGTACAAATAACCT